GGTGCCAGCACCAGCTTGTTTCCCTCCCTGCTGCCTGGATGCCTGGAACAGGCCCGGAGGGAGCCCTGGGAGGTGCTGGCAATGGTGGGGTACCTGGGGAACCTGTTCTTGTCCATTGGTTGGAGCAGGAATTCAAGCAAAGGAAGCCAAGGCGAAGATGCTGCCAGGAGGAGGATTCAGGCTTCAAACCAGGCCACGAAGGGGCAGGAGCAGGAAAGCTCATTTCCTTGGCCCCGCTCCGCTGCCGCGTCTCAATGGCTCCATTGTACGCAGGGACCAGATGTGCCGCTTGGGGCGGCAGCACAGAAAGGCTTTTCTGCTGCCTCTCAATGGCAGATCTGTGCCGCTGCTGCCGGGAAGGTCCTGCTGCTCCGCCCCGGCCCTCGCCAGAGCCCGGCCCGGGGGGCGCCGGGCGGAGAAGGACGCTCTGTGTGCCCATTTCTCGGCTTCGCTGGAAATATCACAGCGGAGTCGGATTCCATCAACCCCAGGGCGGTGGAGATGGGGGGAGCAGAGGGCTGGAAATGGCTGGAAATAGCTCCCTGGGGAGAGACGGAGAAGTTAGTTTGCTGGTGGCTGTGACAGGGTGGAGGGACATCCGCTGAGCAGGACATTCCCTCTTTGTCCTCAGGACTTGGCTGGCATCTCTGTTGGGTGCTCGATGGCAGAAAGCCCAGGAGAAGGTGGTATTTTGGGGCTGGTTTGTCCCCTGGTGGGCACCCATCCCCATCCTACTTTGCAGGGTGAAGGCACGAGCTGGACCTCGGTGGGCGAAGCTGAGCCCATGTCACCCAGCAGGTGATGGGGACATGTGTGTCCCCATGCAGGACAGTGTCCTCCCCTCTTGCCAAGAGCTGGGGATGTTGGAACTGGACTGGGGGTGCTGCTCCTATGCAAGAGCCTCTCCCACTTGGACAGGGCAGCAGCCTGGAGTCCATCCAGATGCAGGACCAGCCCTGAGGTGGCAGGAACTCACACCAGCAGATGTCCTCCCTAAGTGCCCCCTCCCGGGACTGACCCCATTTGGAGACAATCAGTGTGGCACTTGTTTTCAAAACACATTTTGCAGCCCACTGGCTACGGAGGGACAGGGGGATGGAGCCCAGGGGCACCAAAAGAAAAATGCCCATTTTAAGCCAAGGTCCCAGCTTTTCAAGGCACCCCAGGCTGCAAACCCCTGTGGGTCTGGGTACCTGGAAAATCCCAGACCTGGGAGTGTCCTGCTGGCAGTTCCCACTGACCGTTGGGGAGTGTTTGTGGACACGTAACGGCAGGAAGCCACCGGCTGGTGGGGCAGGTCCCCCCCAGTTGCTGGTGGCAGGTCTGGCCTCTGGCCAAAGCAAATCCCGGCTGCCAAAAGCCCGCGTGGCATTTTCCTCAGCCCTGATAAGGCTGAACTGCAAATGCAGCCACAAACAAAAGCCGTTCCAGCCCTGCCCAGGCTGGTTGGGTGCTGTGCCAAGCGCGGGAAATATTTCCTGAGATAAAAGCCTGCGCCTGCTGTGCCACATGGGCATGAAATGTCACCTGCAGCGGGCTAGATCAGAGGGGACAAAGGACAAGGACACCCTGCACCTGGGTGAGGGCTGGTCTTGCAATGCCACCCTGGGGACAAGAGGGCACACAGGGGGGTGCAGGAGGGGGTGGCATGGAGCAGGAGGTCTCCAGACAGCAGGTGACATTGCAACTGTTCTGTATTTGATGCAGCTGCCACAGCACAGCCCTGCATCATGTTCAAGGGGCTCCCTGGTGGGTGATGGAGTGCTGGAAGATGGCAAGGGGGGAAGCTATTGGTGCAGGGTCTTTGGGGGAGGGGCGCATCCTGCCATTGGTCCTGGCACCTGGAGGTAAAACCTCCCCCAATGGCTTCAGCATCTGCCACCAGCCCCTTCACACCAGCCCAGCCAGGTCTGAGCCCAGTGTGGGCATCCAGCAGCCCCTTGAGGACCCTTCCCCAGCTCTCCAGCTGCTCCTGGGAACCTGCTCCTGCTCTGCTCTCCGGACCATTGTTTTGCTGCAGCATCCTGGCGGGAAGGATTCAAGCTGAGAGGCCACAAGAGGAAACAGCTTCCCATCCGCTCCCAAACCTGCGGGTGGAAAACAAGGACACCCAGCTGTGGGCAGGACAGCTGGGCCTGCAGGAGAGAAGTGTACTGGGCTGGTTTACTTCATTTGTGCAGCATGGAGATGTTCACACCGCTTTCCTACGGGGCCTGGGCAAGGCAAAGCCCTGCTGGCCTTGGTCCATGGGTCCCAGCCCATCCCCAGCCAGGCCAGCCCAGCAGCCAAGCCATGGAGATGAGATGGAGCCAGAAGCTGGGCTCAGGCAGGCACAGCAGAGCTGGAGCTAGTGGACATGAACTCAGGGAAGTCAGGAAAGGGCTGGAACACTTCCCACTGGCTGCTTCTCCATGTGCACCCTGAGCACACACGGCTTCTCCCAGCTGTGGGTCACCAGGCAGCCATGGATACCCAGGGCTTTGGGAGACTGCTGCCTGCAGAGGGGCTCGGGGTGCCCAAACGTTTGGGGTCCCATTGCCCAGGGAGAAAAGTTGTCCAGAGCTGCAGCGAGCAGAATGGCTTGAGCTGCAGCCCTTCCCCACCAGCATCTCCAGCAGCATTTCTCAGACTCTTTCCATCCAAGTGCTACTTGAACAAGGCAGGGTGACAACAAAAGCTTGCTTGCCGACCACTGAGAGCCTGCCCAAGCTTTGTGTGCTTTCTTGCATGTCGACACCACTTGGTTCCTGCACTGGGTGTGGAAGGACTTGGACACAGCCTGTTCTGTCAGTCTGCACCATTTTCAGCTCCCGGGGTGGTGTTCCCCAGCACCCTGCAGGGCAGCACCCTGCCACACTAGTGTGGCTTCTCCCAGCTGTGGGTCACCAGGCAGCCATGGATACCCAGGGCTTTGGGAGACTGCTGCCTGCAGAGGGGCTCGGGGTGCCCAAACGTTTGGGGTCCCATTGCCCAGGGAGAAAAGTTGTCCAGAGCTGCAGCGAGCAGAATGGCTTGAGCTGCAGCCCTTCCCCACCAGCATCTCCAGCAGCATTTCTCAGACTCTTTCCATCCAAGTGCTACTTGAACAAGGCAGGGTGACAACAAAAGCTTGCTTGCCGACCACTGAGAGCCTGCCCAAGCTTTGTGTGCTTTCTTGCATGTCGACACCACTTGGTTCCTGCACTGGGTGTGGAAGGACTTGGACACAGCCTGTTCTGTCAGTCTGCACCATTTTCAGCTCCCAGGGTGGTGTTCCCCAGCACCCTGCAGGGCAGCACCCTGCCACACTAGTGCGTGTCACAACACACAGACACACACACGTACTCCCTTTCCTTTTTCACAGGGAAAGCTATGTTTTGAGACCACCTTCTGGACCAAAAATAGGTTTTAAATGTGTCTTGTTTACTGAAAATTCATCTGGTCCTGGAAGTTTTTGTTCAGACAGATCCTCTCGGGAGGGTCAGGGCTACTTTCCATGTCCAGTGTGAGGTCCAACTCCAGGGATGGCTCTGCTGGGCCCTGCCATGATGCCATGGAAGTCTTCAGATAGCTGAAGTACAACATTCCAGCACCAGAAAACTTGTCATTTTTTGTTTACAAAACAGCCCCTATAGCAGCAGCAGAAGCCTGGCCAGCCCCCCTCACCACTCCATGCAGGTTCATGAGATGCTGAACACAGAAGCTCGGTCCTCGGCTGTGGCAAATCCCTGATCCTTACTGGAGCTCAGCATCCAGGTGTGAAATCACCCACCTGAACGTCGCAAGCCCCGGCTGCAC